GGCCCTGATGTTTCATTATGGCAATCATGAGAACAGTAAGACACCATGGCTGTGGATAAATACTATTAATCTTTTTACTTATCTGTTAGGCCATATGCTCCAACAACATAACTACTGGGCCTACCATTCTAACATATACACACCAGTCACATTTTTTCTTTGCCATGATATTGTTATGGCCCCCAAAATACTCAGGCTTGTTTTGCCAAATAACATGAAAATGAAGAAAGAAAAGTTAGCTATAAACTGGCAATATAAAGACTTTTAGTGGTATTCCCTTTATTGTTAGAATAAAATATTTTATGAACTATGTAGGGTCAAACTATGCCCTACTCTCTCAAAGTCTCTCCTAGTTTTCAGGCCATTCAAGTATCCCAAATAATCAAGTCCAAATCTGATGTGAAAAACTGTAAGGGGTAAATTGTAGTAAAGAGAGACAAACATAAAAAGAGAATCTTCCAGCCAAAATGCTCGTAACAGCTGGTGATTGGCCATGTTGATCCCAGGAGGCTAGAAATATGGGCCTCCCACATGAATGGAATAGACATAAGTACTTGAATCATCCCCTGCTGTCTTTCAGGGTATGCATTAGCAAGAAGCTGGAAACAAAGTGAAATTAAGAGTCAAATATAGGGGGCTGGCACTGTGGCACAGTGGGTTAATGCCCTGGCCTGAAGCACCAGCATCCCATATGGGCACCGGTCTAGTCCCAGCTGCTCTACTTTCCATCCAGCTCTCTGCTATGGCCTGGGAAAGCAGTAGAAGATGGCCCAAGTCCTTGGGCCCCTGCACCCACACAGGAGACCCGGAGGAAGCTCCTGGCTCCCGGCTTTGGATTGGCACAGCTCCGGCCACTGCAGCCATTTGGGGAGTGAACCATTGGATGGAAGACTTCTCTTTCTCTGCCTCTCCTTTTTCTGTGTAACTCTGTCACATAAATAATAAGTAAATCTTTTTTTTTTAAAAAAAAAAGAGTCAAATATAGGTACTTAGATATGGACATCCAAAGTGGCTTATTAACCACTCTACCAAAGACTTATTCTCAAAGCAATCAATCTTAAACTTGAATCCATAATAAAATGCTTGTTTACAGCTTCCCCATTTTCAGTCTTATGACCAACCATGCTTCCACTGAGTGGTCCTGCATGACCTGCTCTTCATTACCAGGTACTTGTGAGTACAACAAATTGAAAAGCTCTTTCTGTGCTTGCTCATCTGATCTAAATATGCTAGTCTCATAACGTTCACCCAAAGTAACAGGGTTGAAAAAAGGTTTGAGAGATAACTAGTGATAGACAATGTCCTCAGATTCCAAGTTCCAAAGGATCAGTTTACAGGTGACTACATGTTTCCAAAGAGTGTTTCCACTGAGATAGAGCCCAACCAAATCATTGTAATCACCTGCTTAGCAATACTTCCTTCACTGGTCTTGCCTATCCTCCTGACACACTGTCCTGCATTTTATGTAACTTTTCATGCATACTCCTGTCTCAGCTCTATTTGGGGGGAAAAACAAACCCAAGATGAAGCAACCTAAGCAAGTTAAACTTGCCACTCAGATCAAGTCATAGGTATGAAACTCATCCAGAAAACCAGAAACCCTTTGAGAACAGGGGAAGACAGGACTCCAAGCTAAAATGTCACCAAAACTTGGCTCCTGGTTTCAGTCTGCCCAGTCCTCTATTGCAGCCATCTGGGGAGTGATGTAGCAGATAGAGAACTTCTCTTCTTCTGCCTCTCTCCCTCTCTGTAACTCCTATTTTCAAAAAAAAAAATTCTTTAAAAAATAAAATATTTCAAAATCAGAGTGCCAAAGAGCAAGAGACATAGAGATCTTCCATTCCATTATTCACTCTCCAACTGGAAGCAATTAGGCTGGGCCAGGTTGAAGTCAGGGACCTGGAACTCTACCCAGGTCTCCCACATAGGTGGAGGGGCCCAAATACTTGGGCCATCACCAACTGCTTTCTTGGGTGCATTAGCAGGGAATTGGACATGAAACAGAGAAGCAATAACTTGAACCAGTGCTCCAATATGGGATTCTGGTGACACAAGTGGTTGATTAAGTCTCTGTGCCAGATTGCTGGCCCTTCAATACCTATATTTTCAAAATAAATATCAATAAGCTATGTTTTCTGCTTAGAAAACTAGAAAAAGACAGCCAAAATAAACAGCATGAAAAAATAGAATTCAGTGCAAAAGGATAGAGAAATGGTGTTCTTTACTGCCTGCTTGGGAGACCTGGGGCTGGGATGGTGGCAAGTAGAAAGTGATCCTTCTGTACATCAGTATGCTTCAGACTCTGAATTCAGCCATTCTCAGGTTCTCTCATGGAGACCACAGCATGCTACTCACTTCTGTCCCTTCTCTGGACACTTGAATGCTACTGTAACAGCCATTCAGCCTTCAGTGTTTACATGGTCTCTGCATTGAGCCTGGTTGGATGAGGCCAGCCATCATCACCCATTTGCTGCTGTTCACACATCTCTTGCCAAGCAAGATTGGCTTTTGGATGAGGAAATGTGAGCATGCGGACTACGCTGTACTTGCAAGAGGAAAGTGAGACTCTCTGAGTTTCATGGGTACTGGGAAGTTTGAAACCTAGGTCAGGGACAAACGACCAGGCTACTCACATCCAGCACACAACTTTGATGCCAGCAAAATCCCTTCCATCTTCTATCACAAATGGTCCACACAAAAGTTGTATGCGTAGCCCAGAACTCCAGTCCAGCCCCATAAGCAGCTGTACACATCACAGCAGGTAGCAAATACCCATACCAACTGGTGTTCTGTGCACCAGCTAGGTTGCCCAGGCATCCAGGAATTGAAATTGCTCTCTATCAGGACATAGACCAGACTTACAACCTAGACACGATCTAAGAGGCCTGCCTTATACCTTCAGACAAAATGCAATTTTTGTGGTCTCATTCCTGATACTTGCAGCCTCAATAACTTGGAACCAGAAAAAGGATGTGCAGTAACCTCCCTCTCTGTGAACAAGTTCCCAGCTATAGCCAAATGCTTTCATCAACTGATAATATCTTTGCAGTTTGCAACATGGCCAGTAGTGGAGTTACCACAGCATGTTGGAAAGCAGCTCCAGGGATGGAACAGCAAGAAGTCTGCAGACTGGACGGTCCTGAAACTCTTTTGTGATGTCCAGGAGCTGAGTTTGGCAAACTCCCATGGGATGCTTTAACTCCAAATTCAATTTCTCTTGCACCAGGTAATGTTACTTGGTTATTTTTCAGGCTTGGTGGAAGACATCAATGAAAATCAATATTTAGGGCATTTTCCTTTGAAGGCTACTAAAATAATAATTCAGAGGCTTCCATGTGCACTTATTCGTTTTTGTCTGACCTCTATTTCTATTCCTTCTTCACATTCCAAACCCAAAAGAGGTTACTATATCTCTTATTTGCTCCTTTATATTGCTTAATTTTTACATTATATATAGTAAGGCTGAGTTGGGAGGAGTGCAGGCATTTCACATTGTTCCATCACCCTGATAGACTGTACTTCTTCTGTCTCTAACAGTGCTTTGACCTTAAGTCAACACTTTCTTGAACAAGTACAACTATTTTGTCCTTATTTTGGCTATTTTTTCACTAAAATGCACATAAGCTTTTATCTGGCTTTAAATGTTTATCTTTGGATTAGAGGTTTGCATGTTACGAATGGCACTTATATGATCCCCAGGTGGCAGGTCCAAGGCCAACAAGCACTTGTCAATGAGTAGCAATGGACAGAATGACTAGCAGGACTGTTTTCAGGGAGGGATTTTGAAAAGCAATCATTGTAGCTAGAGCATCCAGCTTTATATTTGTAGCATAATCATCTAGAAATAGCCATGCTGCCCAAGTGAACTGTCTGTCCAGAGTGGATACAAGCTGAGATCTGACTATAAATCCAATCAGAATCCTAAAAGCACATTGTGGATGGGTAAGAGAAGTAAACACTTAAACTTGTTTTATTTAACTTATAAAACTGAGGGATCCCTTGGGAGGGCGGTAGAGAAACAAATACTAAAATCAATGTAAAGCTATAATAATGTCATACAATATAGAGGTAGATAAAGGGGAACAGAAAAGCAAGATTCATTTAAAGGGACAGTACATACTATGATGGCTTGTGTGAAAAATCTCAGGAGAAAACAAGTGCTGCAATGAACAAGATTTGGAGTTATTCTTTTTAGGAAGGGGTTGTACTGGTACCTAAATAAATATTCAAATATTGTGAGTGGGATTTGACTTGATTACAACCCAATCCATGATATTTTTTAAAAAATATGAGAACTCCCAGATGTTCAGCTGAAACAACAAAGATGGTTAACTTCATAGCATCATTTTCACATGTACCTAGAGTGCCCATGCAGAGATCTAGGAAGCGTCATGGCATGCAGTACATAAGAGGTGAGGCTTAGTTGCCTTATGAGTATTAGGTGTACTGAGCATGCAACCACACATATTCGTAGCTGACAAAACAGCAGCATCTACACAGGAGCAGGGTTTGGGTAGTGTATTGGGTGTGATCCAGATGCTGCTTACTGTCCATTCCTAGTGCTTACTAGCTACCTGCCTATATCATCTCCAAATTGCTCAATGGAATAAAATGGGTCAGAACTGTGCAAGGTAAATCAAAAAAAGTCAGGAATAACTCACAACAAAGTGGAAGAAAAGCAATACAAGAAACAAAGCAAAAGTAAACACTGGCAGAGATTCAATCACGGGAAGACGACTTGGATTTTAGGCCACTAGAGCACTTTGCTCACATTCCTCTTCACCCTATAAATTATTCCTCTAGCAGTACAGGTAAATTCAAACATACACACAGACAAGTCTGTGATTCTCATGAGCCACCTGAGATTAAATCTCTAACCTGAATAAAACAATCATCCAGGCCTGGGGGTACAGCCCTATGGATGGAAGATGAGCTAGATGTGTCTGGCCACACCCCTGGTTGGAATAATGTGCAGAAATCATAAACAGACAAAAAAAAGCTACACCAAACAATAACTTTATAAGTGATACAGATGGTATTTCAGATAACTGAATGTTATAGACTGAATATTTGTTAACAAAATTCACATGTGAAAGCAGAATTTGTCTTACAAAAAGTGAGGGAAAAAAATGCAGATTGTGTATCAAAGAGAAGAAAATAAACAACACAGAGCCCATCTCTATCATACAGGATTACACCCTCATGTGAATTCCCTAAACCCTGCTGATGTGTGACTTCCAGAAAGGGTTTTCCCACATACCCTATGCTATCAGTTTTTATACAGTAAAATTTTGCTGATGCTTGTTGAAGTTTGAATTTATAGTAAAAGGTGATTCCACTTCCATTACATTTATAAGGTCTTTCTGAGTTCTTTGGTAGACATTGAGAGATTTATGGTAGAAAGTTTGTCCACATATATATGCTTTGTCATCTGCGAGGTCTTTGTGCTGAAATCAGGGTTCTAGCAAAATGAGCTTTCGCATTCATCATGCTGATAGGTATTGTTTTTCTCTGCATGAGTCCTGTAATGTCTGTTAAGATTTAACTTATGCCCTAAGGTTTTCTCACATTCACTGCATTAAATAGGTTCCTCTTATGTGTGAATTCTATGATGCTTATTGAGGCTTGACTTCTGGGAAAATGTTCTTCCACATTCACTACATGCATAAGGTTTCTCCCCTGTATGAACTCTCTGATGCAAACTGAGGTATGACTTATGGCAAAAGGCTTTTCCACATGTATTACATTCAAAAGGCTTCTCCCCTGTATGAATCCTTTGATGTTTAACAAGGTCTGATTTCCGCGAAAAGGCTTTTCCACATATAATACATACATAAGGTTTCTCCCCTGTGTGAATACGCTGATGTTTAATGAGGTCTGACTTCTGGTGAAAGGCTTTTCCACATTTATTGCATTCATAAGGTTTATCCCCTGTATGAATCCTCTGATGTTTAATGAAGGAGGACTTATGATGAAAGGATTTTCCACATTTATTACATTCATAAGGCCTCTCCCCTGTGTGAATCCTCTGATGTGTAATCAGGTCTGATTTCCAGTGATAGGCTTTTTCACATTCATTGCATTCATAAGGTTTCTCCCCAGTGTGAATCCTCTGATGTATAATGAGGCTTGAATTCCAGGAAAATGTTTTTTCACAGTCATTACATTCATAGCGTTTTCCGCCTGTGTGCATTCTCTGATGTGTAATGAGATGTGACTTCTGACGAAATGCTTCTCCACACTCATCACATTTGTAAGGTTTCCCACCTGTGTGTATTCTCTGATGTGTGATGAGGCTTGACTTCTGACGAAAGGCTTTTCCACACTCATCACATTCGTAAGGTTTCCACCCTGTGTGTATTCTTTGATGGGTAACAAGGTTCGATGTCTGGCGAAAGGCTTTTCCACATTCATCACATTCATAAGGTTTCCCCCCTGTGTGTATTCGCTGATGGGTAATAAGGTGTGGCCGCTGGCGAAAGGCTTTTCCACATTCATCACACTCATAAGGTTTTCTCCCTGTGTGTATTCTCTGATGTCTAATGAGGTGTGACTTCAGGTGAAAGGCTTTTCCACATTCATCACATTCATAGGCTTTCTCCCTTGTGTGAATTTTCTGAAGCTTAATGAGGCCTAACTTCTGGTGAAAGGTTCTTCCACATTCATAAGATTTCTCATCTGTCTGAATTCTTTGATTTCTAACTAAGTCTGACTTTTGATAATTCACTTTTCCACATTCATTATACCCACAGGACTTTTCCCCTACATGAGTTCTGTGATGGATGGTAAGGCATAATTTACAATTGAAAGATTCCTGGTGGCATTTACATTCATAGGGTCTTCTCCTTGTTTGTGGTCTCTGACTTATTGTAAGATCTGACATGTAAGTGAGAGTTTCCTCAACATATTCATATGGTTTCTCTTCCATATGTGATTGCTGTTGTTCAGTGACATTAGAATTTTCATGGATAGCTTTATTTTCTATCTGTGTGGTCTTTCCTACAATGACAGTTGAATTACTACAGGTCTTTCCTCCATAAGCCTCTTCACATGCAAACAATAGCATCCTCCTATTGAAAGCTTTCCATTGTCCACTCTGTTCAAAAGGCTGCTGCACAGTCTGAATCTCGTGATGCTGTCTCAGTTGCTCCCAGTGTGAGAGGGCTGTCGTGGGTGTATTACAGCCATCAGATTTCTCTTGTACTTGCATCTCATCCAGCCCACTAGTGAAATGCATATTCTGAAATGCACTGCTTGCTTCAGCTTTCGTTCCTGAACAATTTATTTTTGTAATTAGTTTTGGAATATGGCTTGAGCTTAAATTAACTGTTTTTCTTAATTCGAGTCTCTCTTGAGTTGATGTGTTTTTTCTGATTGCAATTTGTCCCAAATTTATGTCTTGACTTTCCTGGTTGGACTCAATCAGGTCACTCATTTTCTGGACAACTGAAATATAAAAATAAAAAAAAAAAATCCATCAACCATATCTAAGTGTTTCTTCTTAGCCACTTGCATAACTGCAATGAAGTTTCTTGCTAGGCTAGTGGCATAAGATTTTAACAGCATGGGAGACCCAGAAGAAGCTCCTGGCTCCTGGCCTTGGATTGGCTCAGCTCCAGCTATCGCAGCCTTTTGGGGAGTGAACCAGCAGATGAAGGATGTCTCTCTTTGCCTCTGCCTCTCTGTAACTCAACCTTTCAAATAAAATAAATACATCTTTTTAAAAAAGTTCACATTTATGATCACTATGGTATTTATCCTTGATATGTTATTATAATAAATTACACCAATGGATTTCCCAATGTTCAATCATAATTTTCTTACTATTTAAATGGTTTCTTTTCATTGTGTGTGTGTGTGGAGGGGGTTATATGGTAAGGTGGTAAAGCAACTGCTTGGATGTCTACAACCACTAAAGTTTGAGTCCTGAATACTCTACTCAAAAACAATATCCTGCTAATGTATGCTGGAAGGCAGCACATGATAATTCAGGTACTTGCATTCCTGACACACACTAGAGATCATGACGGAAATCCAGGCTTTTGGCTGCAGCCTAACTCAGCTCTAACTACTGCAGAAATTTGAAGAATAAACCAGTGAATGGAAGATCTCTCTGCTTCCACTATCAACATGTCTTGCAAATAGATAAAATAACTAAATAAGACAGTTCTAAGATTTATTTTGTTTGAAAGTCAGGGTTACAGAAAGAGGAAGAGACAGCAAGAAAAATCCTCTATCTGCTGGTTCTCTCTCCAGATAGCTGAAATGGTCAGGGCTGGGCCACACTGAAGCCAGCAGCCTAGAGCTTCTTGTAGGTCTCCCACACGGGTTGCAGGGACCAAAGCATTTGGGCCATCTTCTGCTGTTTTTCCCAGGCCATTATCAGGGAACTGGATCAGAAATGGGACAGCAAGGACATGAACTAGCACCCATATGGGATGACAGCATTGGGTGCAGTGGATTTTCCCACTATGCCACAACACCAGCCCAGTGTTTTAAATAGTAAGGAAATTCTTAGCAAAAATATTTCTGCATTTCTCTACTGGATTTTCAGTCCTGAAGATGGGACAGTCTTATTGACATTTACTTGCAGATGTAGAAAGACTCTTGCCCCTAAGCAGAGTCACAGCTTAAGAACAGAGTCTGCATCTATGGTTAATCTCATATTCAGTCTTCCCAGGCAAATGGCTATAGTCATTTATGGGTTTTGTTGGATGAAAAATCTTTTCTTTCCTGCACTCTACGATGATTGCTTTCCCTGTATTATTAAGGAAACATGATCTCTTCAGCTTATTAGAACCATAACAGAAACAAAAAGTCTTAACAGAAGTATCCCAGGCATGCTTCCCCTACCAGTTTAAGAGAATTGGTTCTGCAGCCCAGGTTGTGTTCAACTTTCTAAAAAGTGTCTTCTAGCTCATTCTGAGATCAAAACTCCTGGTATTCTCCTCTCAATTCTTGGTACACATGTTCCTGCTTGGTAATTTGCAGTTCTGAAGACTTTTGATCTCTATGTTGGAGATTCAGGTGTCTCCTATTTTCACAGAAACCTGAATATCCTATGAATTTATCTTCTGCTGCTTTGTTCACTCCCCTAATAGCAACAACAGCCAGGGCTAGGCCTGGCCAAAGCCAGGAGTCAGGAGCTTCTTCAGGGTCTCCATGTGGGAGCAGGGACCTAAGCACTTGGGCCATCCTCCACTACATGCCCAGACACATCAAAGGGAGCAGGATCAGAAGTGGAGCAGCTGGGACTCGAACCAGTACCCATATGGGATGCCAGCATCATAGGCAGTGGCTTTAACTACCATGCCACAACGCCAACCCCTATCATTTTCTTATTTATTTACTTGAGAAACAGAAAATGAGAAAGAGAAACAAAAGCCAAGAGAGCTCCTATCCAGGGGTTCATTCCTCAAATGATAGCAATAGGCTATCATTTATGTATTTGACAGGCAGACACAGAGAAAGAGAGAGAAAAGAGAGGCAAAAAGAGAGCGCTTCCATTCACTAGCACAGACCTGAACCACATACAAGAATAAGGTCTGGGCTTTGCTAAAACGAAGAGTATGAATATAATCTGGACAACATGTAAGAAATCAGTACAGCTCAAATGAAAACACTGAAGGAATGAACATGAAAAAAAAATGCCTGAAAAAAAACCTGAGTATTAATGAATAGAGAAAGAGAAGTTAGAATTTAGGGAATGTATCTAACATAGAAAATATCTTTTCTGGCTTTGAAGAGCCAGAAAAGGGTTGGATTCACATGTGATAGATTAAAAAAAAAAAGAGCAGAAAGAAAAACAGAAAATGGGGTACACTGGTGTATGTAGAAGAGCCTTCTCTGGAGACTGTAGAATGTGTGGGGTGCATGAAACCAGCTGTCCTTCAGGGTTGAGATCTGAGAAACATTAATGAGAAGAGCTCCGATCAACAACTGTCTTTTTGTCCCAGTCTCCCTGCCCAAATATGTGTTGACTGACCTGGGAGGCTCTGCTTTAGGGATTTTTCCACTATCCATGGCTCTGCTCCTTGCTCCAATTTGTAGATCAAGTCTGGTTTGATAATGCAGTGCCCTGTTAATGGGAAAGAATGTCAGACTTCATTAAATCACTGTATTAAATTTTTTAAAGAACTGGTTCCAGAAGCTGGGTAACCAAAGGGCCATTCTTAATGGTCTCAAATACTATACCTATTCAGCATTATACTTTATAAAATGTTCTTTATTTGTCAAGTAGGAAAAATGAGTTCCACTTGAGCATTACAGGGTAGTAATGGGTAGTGTCACTCACCCAAGGATAGCAAGCTGCTGTAGGTCTCCAGCATCACATCCTTATATAGGGTCTTCTGAGCATTGTCTAGGTCCTGCCACTCCTCCTGGGTGAAGTCCACAGCCAGGTCTTCAAATGACACCAACACCTGTAACAGCACATTTCTGTTCAACTCTGTTACAAAACAGAAAGACTAAAAGTGCATTCTCTGTGTGTATTTGCTACTTATATAAGATGTAGCTAATTTTGTAATTTATATGGTAACAGAAAGCAAAATCACACTGAAAATGTGTTGTCTCTGTATTAATGTTAGAATTGAAAAATCAGAGGATCAAAGATAACAGATTAGGGAGCAGCATGCTTTGCAGGGCTCGGATAAGCAGTGAGGAGAAAAGGGTAGGAGGTACACTCTGGGTGGAGAATTGAAGAGAAAATCACCAGGGAAGCCCCATGGGAGGGGGCAAAACAATGTGAATCTGCATGGTGAGTCCTGATGTGCAGCCTACGCAGATGCCGTGGTGGAGAGCCAGAGCTGGCAGCATGTTAGAGACAGAGGGGAAGCCAGACTGCAGCAATCTATGGGGATAGAGCCAGAGAGAGTGTGGCATGGGTCCAGACTGAAGCCCTGGGGGCTGGCAGTTGCTGGTAGATGCCTGTGATCCCAGTGAAAGTGGAGGGTTGGGACGTTTGATTCAAGTCAATCTCTCCAAAACAGAACCCACGATATGACTGAGAAAGGGCAGGCACCATTTTACAATAGGGCAAAAAAATATGGAAGCTTGCAAGCATGCACATAACAGCTCACTGAGATGGGCCACATGAACACAGTGCTGGCAGCAGGTGGGGGGGGGGACAGGCATTTGGACAGTGGGTGTAGTGTGAGTGTGTGATCCAGAGCTTTGAGCGGAGGGAATGGCCTGCATCCCCCAATGACTCAGAGCTTGGTTGGGACCTGGCTGGCAGCTATGAGAGACAGAGGGGCACCTGCACCAGCAGTGCCCTCTGGACTCTGTGACTGTGGGAGCCTTGTGTGCAGAGAATGTGGGGACTCAACAGCTACATGTGAAGGTGTAGGGTGTAGCTGGGTATTCAGTTCCACCATGAGCCACTTGGGTGTTACCCTGGAAACTTGCCCCACCCTAGAGCACTGACAAGAGCACCCTGGCCACACCCACAACACACCTTCTGGTATTCACAAAGGGGAAAGACACTCCAAGAATCCACAGAAGCATAACCCCAAAGATAAAAGCCATCAGAAGAAAAAATTAAAAATCAACACCACAAAAGGTGAAAAATAAGAGCCAAAATTCAAGAAATAAGAATAAGAAAGTCACCATGACCCCCTCCCCCTCAGAGGAAGACAACATTTCAATATTAGAATGCGAAGATGAAGAGATCAAAAACTGTCATAAATAGATTTAGAAAATTAACCATAAGATATTTTTTAAAAAGTCAGAAGCAAAACCAGGAACTAAAGAAAATCATACACAATATGAATGAAAATTTTTTCCAGAAAATTGAAAATTTAAACAGAAATCAAAATGAAATATTAGAAATGAAGTATTCATTGTTTTTGAATGCTGTATAGTATTCTATAGAGTACATGTCCCATAATTTCTTTATCCAGTCTACTGTTGATGGGCATTTGGGTTGATTCCAGGGCTTAGTTATTATGAATTGAGCTGCAATAAACATTAATGTGCAGACAGCTTGTTTGTTTGCCAATTTCATTTTCTTTGGGTAAATTCCAAGGAGTGGGATGGCTGGGTTGAATGGTAGGGTTATATTCAGGTTTCTGAGGAATCTCCAAACTGACTACCATAGTGGCTTAACCAGTTTGCATTCCCACCAACAGTGGGTTAGTGTCCCTTTTTCCCCACATCCTCTCCAGCATCTACTGTTGGTAGATTTCTGAATGTGAGCCATTCTAAGCGGGGAGAGGTGAAACCTCATTGTGGTTTTGAGTTGCATTTCCCTGAATCCTAGTGATCTTGAACATTTTTTCATGTGTCTATTGGCCATTTGGATTTCCTCTTTTGAAAAATGTCTATTAAGGTCCTTGGCCCATCTCTTAAGTGGGTTGTTTGCTTTGATGTTGTGGAGTTTCTTGATTTCTTTGTAGATTCTGGTTATCAACCCTTTATCTGTTGCATAGTTTGCAAATATATTTTCCCATTCTGTTGGTTGCCTGTTCACTTTCCTGACTGTTTCTTTGGAAGTACAGAAACTTCTCAATTTGATGCAATCCCAAATCTTAATTTTTGCTTTGACTGCCTGTGCTTCTGTGGTCTTTTCCAAGAATGAAATCTGGTCATTTGCAACAAGATGGAGGAATCTGGAAAACATTATGCTGAGTGAATTAAGCCAGTCCCAAAGGGACAAATATCATATGTTCTCCCTGATCGGCAACAACTAACTGAGCACCAAAGGGGAAACCTGTTGAAGTGAAATGGACACTATGAGAAACAGTGACTTGATCAGCCCTCGTCCTGACTGTTGATGTACAATGTAATACTTTATCCATTTTAGTATTTTTTTTTTGTTCTAGTACTATTGGTTGAACTCTGTGATTAGCACACAATTATTCTTAGGTGTTTAAATTTTAACAGAAAAGTGATCCCTGTTAAATATAAGAGTGGGAATAAGAGAAGGAGGAGATGTACAATTTGGGACATGCTCAATTGGACTGGCACCAAATGGTGGAGTTAGAAACGTGCCAGGGGATTCCAATACAATCCCATCAAGGTGGCATGTACCAATGCCATCTCACTAGTCCAAGTGATCAATTTCAGTTCACAATTGATCACACTGATAGGTCTAAGAGTCAAAGGGATCACACAAACAAGACTAGTGTCTGCTAATACTAACTGATAGAAACAAAAAGGGAGAGAATGATCCAACATGGGAAAGCGGGATACACAGCAGACTCACAGAATGGCAGATGTCCTAAACAGCACTCTGGTCTCAGAATCAGCCCTTAAGGCATTCAGATATGGCTGAAGAGCCCATGAGAGTATTTTAGGCATGGAAAGCCAAGACACTCTGGAAAAAAAAAAAAAAGAAGACCTAAATGAAAGATCTGTGCGAGTGAGATCACAGTGGAAAGAACGGGGACATCAAAGAAGGAGGTACCTTTCTCTGAAGGGAGGAGAGAACTTCCACTTTGACTATGACCCTGTCAGAATAAGATTGAAGTCGGCGAACTCAAAAGGCTTCCATAGCCTTGGCAACTCATGACTAGAGCCTAGGGAGATTACTGACGCCATAAACAAGAGTGTCAAATTGTTAAGTCAACAACAGGAGTCACTGTGTACTTGCTTTTCATGTGGGATCTGTCCTTAGTGTGTTGTCCAATGTGAAGTAATGCTATAACTAGTACTGAAACAGTATTTTACACTTTGTGTTTCTGTGTGGGTGCAAACTGTTGAAATCTTTACTTAATATATACTAAATCAATCTCTGTATATAAAGATAATTGAAAATGAATCTTGATGTGAATGGAATGGGAGAGGGAGCGGGAGATGGGAGGATTGCGAGTGGGAGGGAAATTATGGGGGTAGAAAGCCATTGTAATCCATAAACTGTACTTTGGAAATTTATATTTACTAAATAAAAGTTAAAAAAAAAAGAAATGAAGTATTCAGAGGATCAAATAAAAATGCAGTGGAAAGCCTTAACAACAGACTTAATGAGGCAGAAGAAAGAATATATGAACCAGAAGACAAATCTTTGGAAATCTTACAGTTAGACAAAACAAACAAACAAACAAAAAAAAAGAAAATAGAAAACTTAAAAACACCAAAGATCTATGGGATACTATCAAACAACCCAACATACAGGTCTTAGGAATGCCTAAAGGAATGGCAAGAGAAGGGAATAGAAAGCCTACTCACTAAAATAATTACAGAAAACTTCCCCAATTTGGAGAAAGAAAGGGATGGTCAAGTAGAGGAAGCACACAGAATTCCTAACAGACATGACGAGAAAAGATCTTCACCACAACACATTGTAGTCAAACTTTCCAGAGTTCTAAAATGTACATGAGAGAAACACCGAATTACTTTCAGAATATCTCCAATTAGACTCATAGCCGACTTCTCATCAGAAACTCTATAGGCTAGAGGAGAATGGTGAGATATAGTCCAAATCTTAAAATAAAAAAACTGACAATCCATAATACTGTACCCTGCAAAGTTTGTATTTATAAATAATATGAAATAAAGATCTTCAATAACAAAGAGCAATTGAAAGAATTTGTCAACACTCATCCAGCCTTAAAAAAAAAAAAAAGTTTAAGGATATGCTGCACAGAGAAACACAGAAAGATAGCCATTATTAAGAAAGAATGAGGAGGCAGAAAGCCCACCAATAGAAGCACAAAAGAAATCCAAACTAAACAATAGAAATATTTATAGAAAAAAGGCAGGGCACGTCATTTCTTATCAACAGTCACCTTGAATGTAAACAGCCTCAACTCTGTGGCACAGAGGGCACTGCTTCCAATGCCATGAGGTCCTCACCAGAGCTGATCTGACGCCAGTACTGTGCCCTTGGACCTCCCACACTGTGAGCTCATCAGTCTGTGTTAAAAGACACAGATTGGCTGAATGGATTGAAAAACAAGACCCATCTATTTGCTGCTTATAATAAACACATCTCACCAACAAAGATACATACAGACTGAAAGTGAAAGGGAGAAAAAGACATTATATGCTAACAGAAACCAAAAAAGAGGTGTTGCCATCATAGTATCAGACAAAATGGATTTTAACATAATAACTGTTAAAAATAAGATGAAGAAGGGCACTATGTAATGATTAAGGGATGAACCCAACAGGAAGATGTGATATAATAAATGTATATGCATCTAATTACAGGGCACCTGGCTACTTAAAAAAAATGCTAATGGATCTAAAGAGAGACATAGACTACAGCACAATAGTAATGGGAAACTTCAACACCACACTTTCAGTGATGGACAGATCAACCAGATAGAAATCAGCAAGAAACAACAGCTAATTGATACTATAAACCAAATGGACCTAATGGATTTCTACAGAACCTTTCACCCCACAGTGGCAAATACATATTCTTCTCATAAGTGCATGAAATTTTCTCTAGGATAGACCATATGCTAGGCCACAAAGC